GAAGTCGAATTCGCGCCTAATTTACCCGTGAGATTTTCTTTTTCTTATGACCACTTCCTTAATACGAAGGATGTTTAGGGTCTCTTCACCCTTTTTACATTGGAGAGCGATGCACTAGGCTTACGGATGAAGTGGGCCGCGTATCATCGAAATGCAGCGTCATACGTTTTCGAATTGGAAGATGATGCGCAAATAATGAGTACAATACTTGCTTGGTAGTAGAAACCAACCACTGACCTTCCACCTGTCGGAAGTGTACGATACCAGCCGAGCCATTGATGGAACTTGATGCCGAATCTCCCGAACGATTTATATTGAAGCCTTTTTAGTGTTTGACTGATCTCATGGTCCGGCCCAATGCACAGACCCTACACACAAGGTTTTCATTAATCGAGCTCGCAGACACCCAACTTCATCTCTTGGGTCCAGATGTAAAATTGTCACATGTATAGTCCAAGTATCTAGTGCTGCTAACATCATTTGGAAAGTGGTGAAATGGGGGTCAGTATTTCAAATTCATCACCATAAGTGTATTCGTGGGACTGCTGAATATACTCGGACCCCCTCATTTCAAGATCTGTCAAATCTCTGTTGGGATTCTACTATCTCACATAAGTTAACCGGCGTTGGTAACAAAGATCCATATGTTCACTATTTCAAAGTGTTTTTTATGGGTCGGAGAAGCGTCATTTCATCAGTTGAACTTGTCCTTGGGGTTCATTCCGGGGTCTGAACTCCAAACATCTGACACGCTACAACTACTCTGATGGCGCAGGCTGGATAAACCTGAATTCCCAAGTCTGAAGAGGTTAACTTGTTCACTCAACCACTAACAAGTAATCGAAAAAATTGCCCAGAAGGTTTCAAAGCGTCCACGGTGATGTCTGGCTGGGAAGTCCTGACAGTCGGGATATTCGATCGATGCAACCAGGACAGTTACTGGATCGTAATTCTAGGCACTGAGCAAACCGATTGGATCACTCAAGCGTTAACGTGTTCACCTGTTCAAATGCTGAGGTGGTGGTAACGCGCTTAGGTTGCATGTCAGAAGCCCAGTGTTCAGACCCGGAAGTGCGAAGGATAGCACTACTGTTGAGCCTTAATAAGGACAAAACTCGAATGCATTGCCTCCACTCATGTTGGTGTGGACCCACTAGAATCACAGCATCAGAAGAGAAGGACAACTGTTTGACTGACAGTGATGCGAACGCTATTTTTAGAGATCTCCCAACCAACAACAAGTACTATTGAACTTTATAATTAAAACGAATGAGCAATCACGCGGTATTTACAGCTACCGTCAGAAAACTAACAGGCGGCCACATTCAAACAATTGTACACTGTTGCCAAATAGGGAGCATCAGTTGAGAGTACTGCCCACGCGCGATCGTCGGAGCAGGAAACCCAACACTAAAAAGCTCCGAAATTGATCAGAAGTTTTAAAATTATTATACTGGAATGAAAGGGTGATAGATCGCACATTTAATGGTTTTGAAGAGTTCAAGAAAATAATACGCGACTAGCCAGAAGCTGCTTCGATGTACGGACCTTTCGCGCCCTAAGTGGTGAGATAAAGTGTGGCAAAGAAGTAGAACTCAACCGAATGAAGCCTTATTTATTTATTAACGCAATCTCAGACAGTCAGTAGTGAGCAACTACGATCTACTCCGTCTAATCAGAAGATAGCTGCTTCCTAACCGAGAGAGCGTGGTTTGTAGTTGACTGACCACTAGGTGAATACTGCTATTTTCGCACATTCCATCCAAAACCTGTCTCCGTTGAGTGGGACCAGGTGAATTAGATGTGGTCTGCTTACATACGTTCACGAAACCAGAGAAGAAAATCACTGGCCTTGTAGAGGACTATTTGTATTAAATTGTTTTGTGGTGGCCTTAAGAGTAGACATAAGATGGATTCGAACATACCGCTGGCAATGGAGTTTTCCGTTCGTTCTCCTCCTTATGATACACGAATCTATTCAACTGGTGTTTCGAATTCCGCTGACCAGGAATGTCCAAAAGCTGAACTGAGTATTATAGTCACCTGTGAAAACCTTCTGGACCGGAAGTCACTCACTTTGGCAATTCACACAAGAGATGAACGAGACCACAAAATTTTAAAACAATAGCATATATGGTGACCCACCTCATGAAATTATCGCAATATGATATGGTTGTGGGAGATGAAGAGCCACAAGACGTCAAACTACTGGCGGTAGCAACAAAGATTCTTCAGGTTGCCAGCTGGATCAGACCGATAAATGACCCTTAGAAACCTGTGAGACAAATGAATTTTTAGCATTAATAATTTTCCGCTCGACGTTAAAGAGAGTCACGAAAAATAAAATAAATCATTCTGTTGTAACACCCTTTTGATGCCTAGCTGCCATGCCACCCGAAGGACGCACGAGGTTTGGGATACTGCCAGGTTGTTTAAGCCTAGGCAGAAGAAGGCAAGAGGCAGAGGTCGGGTTCGAACCACGGGCCTGCTGGTTAGTAAATTGGTGCTCTAACCACTTGAGCCACCTCGCCTCCAAAGAGAGTCAAATAACGACATGATCTGCTCCCCAACCACCAATTTTTCAAAAAAAAAAACAAGCGACGCTGATTTACAAGCTGAAAAATCATCACCTCACCCCTTTCAATATCTGAAGTA